AGTTCTAGCCTCATTTTCTTAGCATTTGGTAAGGGTGAAATGAACAGTGGCCACTCCTGTTATCAGAAAAGGGTCTTGAGCACAGCCACAGAATAGAACCTCTAGGAGCCTCTGAGATGATAGGCAGAGGCAGATCAAGAACTAGAAACCATGACCCAGTCTGACCTCCATCATTGCCCAGGGCCTCATCAATTGCAGGGTTTCAACACTGTTGCCAGTCATGTGGGAAGCCTCTTTTGTCATATGTAGACCTCTAGTCTAGACATTATGTGGATCCACAGAGAGTTAAACCTGTGCCCCAAATTACAAGAAGGTGGGATTAAAAGTGAGCCATTGTAAGATACACAAAAAACACAAACTTTTTCATCAGAACTTTGTCATAAACTCCCATATTGTTAGCAATTCCACTGTTAGCTCAGCGGGTGTGAAAGAATGTGTGAAGGCTCATGTTTCCACTCAGGGAAGCTAAGGGAATTTTTCTTTGCCAGTGTCTCTCTTATCATTTCTCTCTCCACCATGCTTTCTTTGTGAGGTTAAATGACTTCTTTTCTGGAGGAACACACCTTTGAGCCAACCAGTAAGTCCTAGAGTTGAGGCTGGTCCAGCTGTGAGAGGTGTGGCTTAAATTCTCCATGGGTGTGACCACTTCTGATGCTGGATCTTAAGATTCCATAATGTAAATCTGTCACTTTAAATTAACTGCCTGGCAAGGTGGATGCTTCTCAAGACACTTGGGACTTTTCTTCCCAGTGAAATTTCAAGTTCTTGAAAGCCACAGGCTTTGACTTCTTGGTCCTGCATTCATTGTCTTCGCTACTGTCCTGCATGTTCTGGGATCAGAGCCTGGAGGGTTGGTTTAGATCAAGACAGTTGATCACCCAGCCATAGGGATGGAGCCAAGAGCACTCCATGGCAGAGCCATGAAGATACTCTGCTGAATCTTTGTTTACTAGCGTCAGGAATGAAAGTCTTCCTCGGTGTCCTTGTTAATCTTTATTGTCAACTTCATACAATCCATGGTCATGTAGGAAGAGAGAACCTCAACCTGATCAATTACCTAGACCAGGTATGCCTCTGGGGCACTTGTCTACGGACCATTGTCTTAATTGCTAGTTGATGCAGGAACACCAAACCCACTGTGGGTTGTACCATCCCTAGAAGGTGGTCCTGGACTGTGTAAGTAAGCTAGCAAAGCAAATCAGAGTGGTCCAGCAAACAATGTTCCTCCAGGATTTCTGTTTCAAGTTCCCGCCCTGACTTTCCTCAACAATGGAGTGTGACTTAGAGGTGTAAGATGAACTAAGTCCTTCCTTCTCCAAGTTGCTTGTGGTTAGTGTGCTTTAGCGTAGCAACAGATGAAGCTAGAACACTCAGTGTAATAGAACATTTGACCTACTCTGTGTAAGGGGATCAGTTCCATCCTGTAAGGAATATAGTCTTGTAACTTGCTTTCTTTCCATCTCGTCTATCATGAGAGGCAGTCAGCTACTCTTATGTCTATTAACAAACATGACATAAAATTCATTCAGTGCTCCTCTCTCCTCCGGGATGTTTACACTGGTGGAAAAGATTCTGGTAAGTTCTGACAAATGAGTGGTAATTATGGAGATTTCAGACTTCGCCAATGGTATGTGTGTGTCTGTCCATGTGTATGAGCACATTCATGTACGTATGTATTGGTGTATGCTATAAGAGAAGCAGCTGCACAGTGTGGCCCCACGAGGGGACCTTCCTGTGACTTTTGAAGTTATTCCTGTGATGGCTACTTCCTCCAAAGATACCCAGAAATCGCTCCCATTTATGGTCATGTATTTCCTTTCTTTAGACCATCTCCCTTTCAGTGAGAACTTTTCCTGGCTGAGTCAGGGATAGAACGGGAAACAGGATAGAGCTTTTCTGTAGCATCAGTTTAGTCCTTTTCCAGGGCACTAATGAAGACCCCTGGATTCTGCTTCTTCTTTGACTCCTCCTTCGTCAGCTCTCTTCAGTATTTGGCTCTCTCTTCCTTCCTGATGCTTCCCTGGACAGGCAGAGAGCACTGGATCGGGTCGTGGATAGCAGTTGGCAAGGCATCCTGGGAAGAGTCAGTTTATTTTAGAGTTTTAGTGACTTTGGTGCCCAGCCTGTGGCAGCCTTCCTCGGCAGGGAGCTCACAATCTCCATTTAGTGACTTGCATCTCATGCCCTTTTCCCACTTTCCCAACTCTTCTCTCTGTTGTGTAGACCGTGGACTCTTGAGTGACCTACCATATCTCGGTTTTTATTCTTGAAACTTCACAGTGACATCTTTTATTTTGATATATGGACTCCTCTATCTTTCAAAGATTTATCTGGCAAGCATAGCCTCTTCTGTGGCGTGATCCTCAGGACTGCCTGTTCTTTGTCCACAAAGCTTTCTCCGTCGTGTCTCTGATGGACCTGCCAGGACCTTGTGCATTTTACCTGACTAATGACCACATCTCTACCTCATTACCATATTCTTTTCACCTCCACTCACTTGATGGGGGCAGTACTCCTGCCATTCTGAATTATTCAGGGATCCCTGGAAACACCATGCCATTCATGCCTCTGAGCAGGTGGTCTGTCTACCTGAAACTCCTTATAGCCTCCTTAGTTCTTTCTTCTATAGACATGGTTTCTTTCCTCACCTGATACCTGGTTTTCTTTAGCCAATCCCTCTTCAAGCTCCCCCCCCCCACCCGCTACACTGCAAATCTTAGGTGGTGGCTTCCTCAACTTTGACCTCCTCTAATGTCATACCATTTCCTTCACCTTTTATCATTGCTAGAGTATGTTTCTGCTAGCACTTGTCATGAGGCACTTGAATTATGTGTCTTTTTTAAACCTCAACCCCTGGACACCTGGACCATCCAAGTGCCTGCATGAGTGAGTGTGGTGGTATTCTGTCCCCCCCCCCCCAAAAAAAAAAAATCTAAAGGGAACCATGACCACGCCTAACAGCGACTTTGGAATCTTCAAAAGGATGACCGGATCCCACAATGATGATTCCACATGGACTATGGTAAAGCCATTAAGCTGATTAACACCAAGGAAAGATTGGCTTTGGACTACAAATTGGTCAGGACAATTTTGAGATGGCTAGCTGAGATGATCCAGCCTGACAGACTACTTGAAAAAGGACTTGTGACAAGCCCTGAACTTTCCTATTATACAGAGACTGGACAAATGATACAGGACTTGACAATTAACCCAAAAATTTTCTTTTCAAGATTCTCTAAAGATGTCTTTGCCCCTAGAAAGCAGGAAGTAATTTTAAGAAAATGACGCCCACATTCCCAAGAAGTGGGATGGGAGGTTCTTGGTTGTTTGAGTTATGGATATTGTCATTGTTTATGATGGTTGGTTACAAGTTGTTAATTGTTAATGGTCAGGAAAAAAGCTGAACAAGGAGATTAGATTCAGAGGTTTTGTTTAAAAAAGAAAGAAAAAAGAGAAAAGAATATAGATATGAGATAGATCACTGAATCTATTCTGAGAAAAAAGATAAAGAAATAATAGGATAAATGGGTAGATCACTGAATCTACACTAAAAAGAAAAAGAGGAAGATATAAAAATGACAAAAGGTAGATTACTGAATCTATTATGAAAAGAAAAAATACTTTAAAAAAGGAATTACTTTTTTAAAATAAGATAAGTAATGAAAATTTTTTTGTCTGAATTTGTCAAATGTTACTGGACTGGACATTGTTATATATTAATGGAGTTTTTTGTCTGAATCTGTCAAATGTTAATGGACTAGACATCGTTAATGTAATCTTGACTGTGTATATTGTATATACTTATTGGATATAATTTTTCTTGTATTAGTAATGAGCTTTTTTTAAATTTTAGACAAAAAGAGGGGAAATGTGGTGGTATTGTGCTCCCTGCAATATTGTGCACCCTAATAATCTTATCTGGGGTCAGAGACAGAACAGCCACAATATTAAACATAGAGGATAGGCAGTGGTAGCACACGGCTTTAATCCTAGCATTCCAGAGGCGGAAATCCATGTGTTCAAGGATACAGTCAAGCATGGTGACTCACGCCTTTAATCCCAGAAAGCGAGCCTTTAATCCCAGGGAGTGGTGGTAGAAAGCAGAAAGGTATATAAGGTGTGAGAACCAGAAACTAGAAGCATTTGGCCTGGTTAAGCATTCAGGCTTTTGAGCAGCAGTTCAGCTGAGATCCATTCTGGATGAGGACTCAGAAGCCTCCAGTCTGAGGAAAGAAGACCAGCTGAGGATCCGGCAAGGTGAGGTAGCTGTGGCTTGTTCTGGTTCTCTGATCTTCCAGTTCACCCCAATACCTGGCTCAGGTTTGATTTTATTAATAAGAATTTTTAAGATTTATGCTACAAGTGAGTCAATGAATGAATGAATGAATGAATGAATGAATGAACTAGGGAGCTCACCAGCTAAAGGTGTCTGGGTGGCTTCTTAGTGATGGAGTAGGAATTGTGAAGGAGAAGGAAGACTCCATAGTTCTCTGGAAGTAGGCAATTTGGTAAAAAAAAAAAAAATGAAATAGTTTAAAACAACATAGAAAAGCAAAAATCTGGTTGAAATGACCAAATGAACAAAGTTTAGATTCATTGGAATTTTGCCCAATGTTAAGTTTTTGCAATCCTGTCTGCGATATTGTAATTTGTATATACTTTAAAGCATCATTGCTCATATTTGGGGGTTTACAGAGTTTTCTCTTGCACCCTTTAAGGAATTCTTTAATTGTGATGATAGTTGCAAATCTGTCTTTGGCGAAGAACATTCATCAGAGTATTGTCTTATCAGGTAGACACAGTAGCTGTTGCCCTTTCCTTATTTCTATTGAGAAATTAAACCATAGAAAAGAATAAAATAACTAAAGTATTTCTAGGATAAAGGAGTATTACATTTGATCAGATATAAATGTAAAAAATTTAAATGTCCAAATAAGAAGAAGTAACAGAATGGACCAGGAAAGGCTGATTTCTAAATGAACTCTTTCTTCTCATCCAAGATGGCCCTCATGACAATTCTTCAGAACTCTAGGAATCCAGAAAACCCAACTTGAAAATCAGTAATTGCTCTCAACACTGTGATTTTCCAGACACAGAGACAAAGACCTACACAAAAGCAGCTAGCCACAAGCCAGGTAAGACTCTCCCACTCCTAGGTAAACTGTGATTTATTTTATTTTATTTTCCTAATTGGGAAGCTGTAGCATCTTTACTTCTTGGGTAATAATGGCATAAGTGTTGAAGTACATCTTCTCATGGATTGTCTAGCTAGTTTGATGTTTGTTGGACAGGTGGTGTCTGTATTGAGTGCATGTCATCATGGAGGGAAAATGCCTGGTCCCTGGTATCCACACACATGACTGACACTAAAATATTACAACCCTGGTCAGCTGATGTCATCTGTTTTATCCTCAAACTCTTCACTAACGGAAGGTTGGAGGACATCATATCTGGAGTCCCTAATAGCGTTGACTCTCTGTGCTGCCTGAGAACATTTGAAACTCCAGCTTAGCACTTTCTTTGTAAAGTATCCTATTCCACATGCCTATGCCAGAGCACAGCTGATCTTCTTAACTTTGAAAACTGTCTTTTTTAGTAAGGTGAGGGTCTATATTATATGAAGAAAATTGATAAAAATGAATTAGTGAGGAAAAAATGGATTTCATCTCTGGCTTGATATAGAATTCTTTGGAATGTGAACTATGCCTCTCTTTATTAAATATGTCAGGAATAGCTATTTGTATCATATTCTGAGCCAGGGATAAATGGTAAACATTACTTGGTCCTTGATTCAACAAGCCCATATTTTTGTGGGAGAAAGATTCTTATAAACACATTTAACTTTAGGGCCATGATAGAATATTGATAAGATAGTCACAAAAATGCCAAAGTACTTGGCATGCATTATCTCAAGTCTTCTGAATTGCAATACCTATTTAGATGAGATGTTGAGGAAACTAAGGACCATAGATATTTAATCTGTCTTTCCCAAGGTCATTGTCATTATCAGGAATGGATTTAATGTGACAAAGTTTAGGCATTGATATCCCAGTGAGGAAATCATTGCAAAGTCTAGGTAAGTGTTAACATGTGTTTGAATGCTGCTGGGAGATTGACATGAAGTATATGTGTAGTCTCAACATGTTGCTTTGCCTACATTTCCCTTTTACAGGGTTTCTGTTTCCTTCTAAATGTGTTTTAAAAGTCTCTCTTACATGTAAATTATATTGATAGCTATTAATGTTGGATTAGAAATGAACAATCTCAAAATCACACATCTATACTCATTAACTAGTGGCCAGTGGGATAGTTATACACAACACTGTGGTTATTGGAAATGATTGAATAATTTAATGCTGGGGCTTGGCTTATTTAAACTTAAATAGAAGTTAGTGAAATATTCACTCTGCTTATTAGATAGTGGAAATTATAACACAATCTTGATGGAAACAGAATTTTATGGATTTTGAAGGAACTTCCCACACCCAAGCAAATTCTGAGCATTTTGACCCTTGTTGCATGACTGAATTTGCATAGTCAACATTCTCATGGTCTTTTTCTTGCAAAATTAAATTATGTCCCCTGTAAGCAAGACAGAATGTGTATAGTTGGGGTTCAGCATAGGGGACAGGTGTGGGAAATTTTCCCAAGGAGAAAAAGCTGATGGGATTTGATGACCAATTTTATTTTTTATTGATTATTTTCAAAAGCTAGTGCTATGGGAAGAGAGAAGGCCACCACATTTTACAACATACCACCCAAACCAAATCTGACACATGTGGTTTTGAACCACTTTGAGTCTGAATTTCCAGCAAAATTAAGAAGGCAATAGAAGAAGTGATCAGAAGATGTAATTATGGAAGCAACATAAAATGGAAGATGCATCATGGGAAATACAAAGAACTGATATGGTTTGGAGCAACCACAATTGAATGCTGCAGGTCGGTCTTTCTTTCTCCCTTACTGTAGATTAATAGGCTCCATTCAGGGAAGAAATGGTCCCGGATCTGAGTTCCATCTTTGTGACCACAGGTTTTGCTATAGACATCCCGTTTACGACCTTAGGGATGAGTGGAAAACCTAGCCTAGAAAACGGATGCCACAGACCAGAATGTATCAAATATTTGATGACATTTTCTTCTGGACCTTTCCTAAATGGCCTGATAATGAGTACAATATCCTAGCATCTACAAAGCAGACCAGTTCTCAATAAGACTGAGAACACAAGCATGCATGTGAATGTGTATGCGTGTGTGCACATGAGTATGTGAAAAAAATTGAAAAAAATTTATGTGACATATCAAGTCAACCCCAGAGTTCACCTCACTGTAGGGTCCACTAGTTTTGAAGAATGTAGATTAATAAGTCTCCTTGTTTAAAAAATGAGCTTCAATATCTGTGCGAATCATAGAGTCAAAAGAAAAAAAATCGATAGGCTATCGACGACCAGGGATGATCACATTCATTTTGCCCTTTGTGGGTGGTGAAATCCATTCTGCAATTACAGAAACAGGCTGGCAGCAAAGAGCCTCCGTCAGGCTCTCAGCTCCACATTAATCCAAAACTCCCATTTTAATGCAGATATAGATTGTCACGAGTCAATAGCTGAGTACTTGAATTGTGAAGAGGCAGATCCACGAGGCACCAGCAGGCCTGAGCTGACTGTATTTGGGAATTTCAAAGCTTTGCTGTGAGAATCAGCTTGGCCAAGACTCTGGGGAGGTGTGGTTGAAAGGGATTGTCTTCCGGTTACAAGGAAAGATTACAGCCAAGCAAGGTGGGTGGGTTGTAGCATATAGGGTTGCAGAGCTGGGGAGAACTGAAGTCACCTGGGCCAGCTTCGCCTTACAGATGAGAAAACTAAGGTCCTTAAAGGCTAACCAGCTTGCATGTGGTTTCTCGGCTTGTCTGTAGACCTTTGAGTGAGATGGCTTCTCTGGTTTTCTAGTACTTTATTAGGGTATGAAAATGAAACATATGCTTTATTTACTACATCCCACAGTTAGGCATGTTGTCCTAATGGAGTTCTGTTAGGTTTTTGTTAATTCCTTCTTTATTCTGCAGGTGTCTCTGGCATAAGATGGCATCTTCTTACCCCCTGAAAATATGTGTGCAGTAATGCCAACATAAAAACCTGAGAGAAGGTGAGATTCTGTGACAGGAATTCAACGGGGTAAGATTTAAAATTTAAAAATGCTGTCATGAGGCCCGGAGTGAGCGGTGGCTCTATGGATAAAGCACTTGCTCCTTAAGCATGGGGACATAAATTTAGATCTCCAGAACCAACGTAAAAATCCAGGCATGGTGATGAATGTCTACAACCCCATTGCTGTGGGCACTGAGACAGGTGACTCCCTGAAGCCCATTGGCCAACCAACCAAACCAAATGAATAAGCTTCAGGTCTAGCGAGAGACCCTTTGTTAAACAATAAGGTTGAGGGCTGGAGAGATGGCTAAATGGGTAAGAATGCTTGTTCTGTAAGCCTGAGGACCCAAGTTCAAATCCCTAGCACCCATATAAAAAGCTCATGGTTGTGTGTCTGCCTGTAACCCCAGAGATTTTCACAGTCAATGGAAAATATTTTATTTTAAGCAGAGTGATGTGTTTCTTAGCCTCATGGCCTAAATACATTTGCCCATTTGATCAAGTTCAATGATAACAATGAGTCATCTTGAAACCCATGTTTTTTTTTTTCCACCATCTGGTGCTTGCTGGCCTGAGAAAGCTCTGAATGTCTTCTTTCACTTGGATTTTGAAGCAGAGTGTGTGTGGGGGATGGATCAGTCTATCTTAATACCCCAATACCAGGGGGCTGTGTGGTTATTTATAGCCTGAGCATTTCCCTGGAAGCCATAGATAGCATAAAAAAGGCCGAGGGTGGACTTGCTCTGAAGCTCTGGCTGTGAGTCCTAGGTTCTTTTCTGATGACCTGAGTACTGAGTGGAGCGACAGTGTAGTGCCAGCACCTGAGTTTCCACACCTGGGCTTTTTCAGTAGGTTTAACCATGTTTGTTTACTTTCCCATGGTCCCATATAAGAAAACGCAACTTAGACTGAAGATCTGTACATAGTGAGCATCATCTGTCTGTTTCTACTCTCAGTAATCCATAAAATTAAATACATTAATTAAATAAAATTAAAATAAAATTCCATAGACACTGGATTCATTATTTCTTTATGATCCAAAATGATTGAAGAAGGCAGAGCTGTGGTTGTGGGAGCTGAGTATGTCTCTGTGATGGAAAGCTCAGAACTCAGCCATGTAAAAGAAGGTCCTAGCAGCAACCAGTTGACTATTACAAGATTGAAAATGGAGCCCACAACCTGGGCTCCCACAGAAAGATGAGAGTTTGCCCTGTAGAGAAACCTGGAAGGACTGAAAAAAGGAAAATGGTTTTCCCATGACGTGTCTGATCCCGTAGCTGCTGCCCTGCTTCATCCCAATTGTTCCCCTCTGTCCCTGCCCATCTCACAGGTGGTCCCTTTTCTTCTCCATACTGAATCACTTGGTAAGGTCTGTCTTTAGTCTCCCTGCTCATGCCTCTCTCTTCCATTCTCTAATAAAAGATCGATGTGGTCTGGGTTGGGAATACTTAGTAGTGACAGGCAGGTTGAGTTTGTGAGGAGGTAGCTACAGTAACATCTCTTTATTAACACTAGCAAAGAGGTGAGCTGGGCACCTCTTACCTTATGATGGAAGCATCTGTTTAGATGGAGTGCTTCCTGGCCTGTGCTCCTGGGTGGCCCAGTTCAACTGTGAAGGAAACACTTCTGGTCCCCCTGATAAGGACCAACTTATCCCAACAGCTTGCTTTTAGACATCAGTGTACATCCTGAAAAATAAAAGGTTAGAAAGCATCTTAGGGCTGGGAGTATAGCTCAGTTGGTAGAGCTATACCCCCAGGGCCTTGTGCTTACCATGTTCAAAGCTTACCATGTTCAAAGCTCTGGGTTCCATTTCCAACATATCATAAATTAGGTGCAGCTGTGTGCCACTGTAACCTCAGCATGTTGGAGGGTAGAGGCAATAGAACCAGGGGTTCAAGGTCATCCTTATAGCAAGTTGAAGACTAGCCTGGCCTACATGTGATCTTGCCTCAAAAAAAAAGGAGTTGTTTTATTAAAGGTGCTTTTAACTAAACTTGGTTCTTTGAGTAGAAAGTTCCAGTGAACCTCATGTACATGAGAACACAGTTACGATCAAGGCTGGCTCCCTGGGGTCATAGATGTTTTAGGGAACTACTTCCCTACCAAGCAGAACTTTGATATTTTCTTTTTCACTGATGCAAGGCCTATACCACATAACAGCACAGCTCCAGTTAATTTTTCTTTTGGCTGTGGTTCCCATAAACAAGATCAATATCAACACCATTATTTCCATTATTTCTCTCCCTTTCCACTCACCACACCTATAAAATCACAGTTAAAAAGCAAGCTGTTTAAGATGGAGACATAAGTCTATTGTCTAACCCCACCCCCCAATCCCAGAGTTCTATGGTGATGACTGAAGGATTCTAAATACAGGGAGCAGGGTAGGAAGGAGAGGGCCAGCACTAGAAATGGCAGTAAGGAGGGGGCCGGGAATAGAGACTCAGGTAAGTAGTAGATGAGAGTATGCGTTCAGTTTCCACTCCTGAGCTCCAATCCTAAACCAATAAATGATGACAGTCAAAAGCTGTCCTCTCAGCAAGAACGCTCTTAGATAGAATATATATGTATATATGTATACATATAATGAAAATATAAGAAAAATTATAGAAAATCTCTTATTTTGTATTATCAGTGAAATTCAGTCACTAGTATCAAACCAAAGAAGTAGTGCAAGATCCAAGCTTTAAGAGAATAAAAAGCAGATGATAGAGTGAATTACAAAGGAAAACACAAATTACCCATTGGTTAATGATTCTTCAGTGAAGATTAATACAGGCTCAGGAAATTTTCCAAGATTTGGGTGAAAGGATATAAGTAAATGCACTTAGAGAGATGATAAAGACAGGAATAACAAATCCTCCACTCAATACAAAGGGATTATAGAAGATAGAACAGAATAGGGTTGGGGGCAGAAATAAATAAAAATAATGGGAGGGGCTGGAGAGATGGCTCAGCAGTTAACAGAGCTCCTGCTGTTCTTGCAAAGGCTCAAGTTCAGTTCCCAGCAGCCACGTCTGGCAGCTCACAACCACCTTGTACATCAGCTCTAGCAGGTCTGATGCCTTCTTCTGTCCTCCAAGGGCACTGCACTCATGTATATATATATACATAAATACACATACATATACATAATTAAAATAAAGGAATATTTAAACAATAATTAGCAAATTTATGTGGACTGAAAAAACATGAGTGTCAAGGTCACTGTACTTTCCATGGACCAGGCGAAATCCACGAAGGTCTTTGAAATACTTTCTGGTTAAATTTTTTTTTTTTTTTTTGGTTTTTCGAGACAGGGTTTCTCTGTGTAGCTTTGCGCCTTTCCTGGAACTCATTTGGTAGCCCAGGCTGGCCTTGAACTCACAGAGATCCGCCTGGCTCTGCCTCCCGAGTGCTGGGATTAAAGGCGTGTGCCACCACCGCCCAGCTAAATTTTTTTAACTGAAATAAAATGAAATGTTTCTATAAGAACCTAGGAATTGAAAACAGGGTATTGAATAGAGAAATTCTATCATCAGATTTGTTCAAAGACATGAATCTAGTATTCTATGTTTTAAGTGAAAAAAAAATGATGATCATAGATTCCCACATACTGCCCCGTCATTCATGGGGGAGGGATGGAGGGGCATTTGAAAGCATGCAAATTATTACAAATATGTGGACTTTGCAATCTCATAGACACAATCCCTTAAAGAAACACTGGAATTGAGTGAAAAAATCAAATTGCCAAGAGCTCAGGAGATATGATACACAAATCTATCTAATCAATAGCTCCTCTAAGTCTGTGATGGTTTGGAAGTGTCCCCCACAGGCTCATGGATTTGAACACTTGGTCCCCAGTTGGTGGCGCTGTTTGGAGAAGTTATAGACCCTTTAGGAGGTGGAACCTTGATGAAGGAGGTGTGCCATGTGGGGTGGGCTTTGACGGTTTATAGCCTGGCTCCTTTTCGTATTCTCTCCCTACATCCTGTGTGTGTATGAAATGTGATCAGCCAGTTTCCTGCTCCTGCCATGTGCTTCCAGTTGCCCTGTCCTCCCCCACTGTGATGGACTCTATCCCACTGGAAGCATCAGCCAAAATAAACACTTTCCTCCCCAAAGTTACTTTTTGTCAGGGCATCCTATCCCGGCAACAGGAAAGTAACTAGAACAGAAATTGTATGGGGAACGGTGACTGCTGTGATACATCGGACCATGTGGCTCTCACGCCTTTGGACTATTTTGTGGTAGGATTTGGGTGAAGTGATTTCTGAAGCTCATTGTATGTTTGCTTTCCCTTTAAATAAAGTCACATATAAACATGTGTTCATCAGCCTCTCTACTTATTAATGGCTTTAATCATTTTCACATAACATTAATGATAAATATATTACATTTTTTTGTGATAGAGAGTCAGATGATTTGGCTTAAAAAATTTATTTATTCATTTTGCAGTGCTAGGGATTGAGCCCGGGGCCCTGTGCACGCTAGGCAAAAGTTTTAAGATGGTTCATAAAATCTGAAAGGTTCTTTGCTGTGACTTGATTAATTTTTTTAAATAATGAGCATGTATACCTTTTTAAAAGACGTGATTTTTTTTTTTAAAAAAGGGAACCCTAAATTCACAGGAAAATTCAGAGGAAAGCATAGATACTTCCTATACTTAAAGATACCCTGGTTTCTTCTATGTTTTGATAATCATAAATAAATCTGCTCTGAACATTTATGTGGGTATGTCTTTGACTCCTTTGGGTAAACTCTAGTCTGTTCAGCTTCCAAAGGGTTAATACCATTTTATGTCTTGCCAGAAACAGTAGGGGTCCCCACTGTTCATAGCTTTAGAAGAGGGATGAATACATAGTTGGGCCTTAAGAATGGTGTACAGCTGTTGTGTTTCTTTGAGGAAGAGGGTCTGGGATATCCTATAAAGAGGGATAGCCTAGAGGACTGGCTTTGGAAAAAATGAAGTGAGGAAATGATACTAAAGGATCCTCCTGACTCTGTCCCTCTGGGCATGTGATGGAGAGGTGTCTTTAAC